ATGTTCATATCAAACTGCCTCGACTGACACAGACAATTTACAAGTTTTAAAAATATCCAAAGCCTACTTGGAATGCATTTGACATTTTATAATATTCAGAATAACTTTTTAATTGTTTGGTTGTCCTTTAGCAAGCACTAAGATTGAGAAAGTTTAAATTGCATTTTCTGTGCAATAATAATGTAGCTTTGTGCTTTGTTTTTGTTTTGTTTTTTTTCCTACCTAATATTGTAATATTTTGTCTCTTTGTGTGTTTGTGTTGTACTCTAAGTTACCACTTCTTCTTATCATTTTTATATAATTATTATTAAAAATAAATATAAAATGTGATTGATTTACAGCGGTGTATTTTTCTGAATATATTATAAAGAATGTATTTTTCATTAAAATTTGTACCTATTTTGTTATACATAAAAATGTGAAATCTCCAAACTTTGGTTGCTGTTAAAGAAATCAATACGGATCAAAGATGACATACTTTTTGTGTGTTGTTTGTTTTTGTTTTTAGAGACAGGATCTTGCTGTGTTGTTCAGGCTGCAGTGCAGTGGCATGATCATGGCTTAAACTCTCAGGCTCCAGCAATCCTCCCACCTCAGCTTCCTGAGTAACTAGACTATAGGCCCATGCCACCATGCTTGGCTAATTTTTTTTGTATTTTTTGTAGAAACGGGTTAAACCTTGTTGACCAGGCTAGTCTCAAACTCCTGGGCTCAAGTAATCAACATGCCTGGGGCTCCCAACAGGCTGGGATTACAGGCATGAGACACCACATCCAACTGATGACATACTTTAACCAGTAAAGGTTGAGCATAAAAATCAGCATATCATTTACTCTATATAATAATACAATCAGACATTGAGTTTATTTATAAATTTGGGAGTTGATTTTAGTGGAAATGATTTCTGGTATGAGTAGGGGGAATTTAGGAAAAACAAATAATAAACACTAACCTGGTTAAGTCAGCATCAAATTTATCATTATTCATAGATTGATAAAAACAAAAGTTTTCACCTATTATGTAACATAAATGTTTTATGTGGTGGCGATACCTATAAGTATAATGGTAGACAAATTCTGAAAAAGGTGAGAGAGCAAGCAATGTGAATATCTGGGGGAAGAGCTCTCTAGAAAGTCAGACAAACAAAAGCAAAAGTTCAGATACAAGAAGCTGCCTTGTGAGTACGAGTACCCAGAGTAGGTAAGGAAATTGTTATCTCTACTCATTTTATTGTTCTTTTGTAGAAGTAGTTACAAAAACCCTTGAATAGTAATTTTTTTGTTTTGCTTTATAAAAAAGCAGCAATGTAGCAGAGCCCTAAGTGAGAAATTTTGGTTCAAGCTATGATCTGTCTAAGTTCGTACATTCACTTATTTTACACTATACCATGAGAGCATAGAAACCTCATAGAATGTACAGCTAGAAATTTAGTTTATATATATGCCACCATGCACATCACTGCATGGTGATGCACCAAGTTTGATTTTCTTTCAAAATATTATTATTCTATTTAATTATATTTAACTTCCAAACACTGATTATTTTCTGTTGATTGCTAAATTAACTGTAAAACCATAAATAAGTGTGAATCCGATTCTTTTTCCCAACCAAAATATTGATAACATCTTATTTATTTTAAATCAAGTAAGGTTCAGGATATGAGGGCACAGCACAGAAAAGCACAGCTTCAACTTTACAAACAGCAAGGGAGGCATGGCACTACACCAGGTTTCTGGTTTCTGTTGAATAAGACAAGGAAATGTTCAGGTAACAGGTTCATAAGGTACTTGATGCGGATACAGTTCCTACAGGAGATATGCCTTTAGTCCCAGTGTGTGGAGGTTTCTAAGAGATTTGAAGAACTTTGTGGTGGTTGGGTCACATATAGAAATCTGTCTTCTATATGAACTTAGCAGAAAATTCTTTTGACATTATAATATGATTCAAAGCAATTTTGGAGACAACATTTTAATGTGTTTCAAATGGACGTGGCATTTAAGAATTCATCTTAAAACAACATCATCCTGAAAATTAGGTGACAGAAGCCCTGTGGTTATTTTCTAAATCCCTGCTAGATACCTAAATTTCAAAAGTAGTTTGTGTATCGGCTGTGGAATTACTTTATATAAACTTTGCATATTTGTTATTTGGGAACAATGTGGCACAAATACACTCATCACTGAGATACTACCAAGCATGCTGTATTTGTGTTTAAGGATAGTACCGCTGGTGCAATGGTGCATGCCTATAATCCCAGCACTTTGGGAGACTGAGTCTGGAGGATCCCTTGAGCCCAGGAGCTCAAGAACAGGCTGGGCAACATAATGAGACTTCATCTCTAAAACTGTTTTTTTTTTTTTTTAAACATTAGCTGGTTGTGATGGTGTACACTTATAGTCTCAGTTACTTGGGGGGCTGAGGTGGGAAGATGGCTTGAACCCTGAAGAGTGAGACTGCAGTGAGCCATAATTGAGCCACTACACTCTAGCCTGGGCTACAGAGCAAGACCCTGTCTCAAAAAAACAATAATAATAAATGACAAATATGAGTCAATTTCTTTGAGAATGATACTAAGAGACCATCCTATACATGGTCTCTTTTAGAAATAATTGGTCATTCCTTTCACTTAAGAAAATGTAGGCCGGGCGCGGTGGCTCAAGCCTGTAATCCCAGCACTTTGGGAGGCCGAGGCGGGCGGATCACGAGGTCAGGAGATCGATATCATCCTGGCTAACACGGTGAAACCCCGTCTCTACTAAAAAATACAAAAAACTAGGCCGGGCGAGGTGGCGGGCGCCTGTAGTCCCAGCTACCCGGGAGGCTGAGGCAGGAGAATTGCTTGAATCTAGGAGGTGGAGGCTGCAGTGAGCCATAATTGAGCCACTACACTCTAGCCTGGGCTACAGAGTAAGACCCTGTCTCAAAAAAACAATAATAATAAATGACAAATATGAGTCAATTTCTTTGAGAATGATACTAAGAGACCATCCTATACATGGTCTCTTTTAGAAATAATTGGTCATTCCTTTCACTTAAGAAAATGTAGGCCGGGCGCGGTGGCTCAAGCCTGTAATCCCAGCACTTTGGGAGGCCGAGGCGGGCGGATCACGAGGTCAGGAGATCGATATCATCCTGGCTAACACGGTGAAACCCCGTCTCTACTAAAAAATACAAAAAACTAGGCCGGGCGAGGTGGCGGCGCCTGTAGTCCCAGCTACTCCGGAGGCTGAGGCAGGAGAATGGCGTGAACCTGGGAGGCGGAGCTTGCAGTGAGCCCAGATCACGCCACTGCACTCCAGCCTGGGTGACTGAGCTAAACTCCGTCTCAAAAAATAATACTAATAATATAATAAAATAAAATAAATAAAAAGTAAATTGTAAACTCTTTTCTTCCTGTCCATTAGTTAGGTCATTATTTCTTTCCTATGCAACATTGCCAAATAAATAAATGTATTTTTAGGGAAGCATTTATATTTTATATCTTATACATGGTCTCTCGATTTTATAATTGTAAACTTCTTTTAATTATATTTCTGAATTTCCCAATTTCCTCTTGACAGCTGTGATCATTATGAACATAAAGTACCTCTATTTAAGGTATATCTAATAGTTTCTAGTTTACAAATTTGGAATCTGCTGTACATACACTATTTGTGGTTATCTAAAATATATTTCCAAATTGTATCCACTTTAATCGCATTTACTAACAATCTTTATTAATATTTTACCTGCTTACTAGTTCATCCCCTCCTTAACGTGTATGTTACATGGATGTGTGTGTGTGTGTGTGCGCGCGCGCGCTTGTGTATTACTTACTGTACCACTGGGTGGCGTAATCTTCTAGCACTCTCTTTTCCATCATATATACATGGGATCCTCAAATAAAAGAGGAGGTATATTAGCAGAGGTCCTGTGTATTCAGCCAAAAATACCTGAAGATAAAACATGATTTAGATTAAACAATAAAAATAGATGTTTTTAAGGTTCATTTGTGTCTGTGAGTATTGGCCTATTGCATAAATTGGTGAAATAGGTGAATTATTTTTTAACTAGATTAGTGATATTGCAAATGATGACTTCCTTGGAAGAACCACGGGGAGAAAGCCTAATATATGTATAGTTAATTTAGAATAAAAATAAATATTGAACCTAATAAACTGGTTTATTTCTTCAGATATAGTAAAAAGGAGATTTTATTTTAATAAACAAACCATTATTAATGTATTTTTCTCTGTGTTTCCCAGTCCAATACACACTTAATCTTCTGTATAAACTGTCCCTGTCAATAAATTGAATGAGCTAGAGTATCTTTTCTCTTTTTCTCTTTCTTTTCTTCATTACCTTACCCTCCATGGGCCTGTCAGCTTGAATTCATTGATTTGACTCTACTTTGAATGGAAACAATTCAGTCTTCTCTATTAGCAATTTTATACTTTAATTCTAATTAGTCTAGTTGTGTGGTTAAAAGATTTAACTTTTGAGTGCTTGAGCAGAGTGGGGGTAACTGTATTTGTACTATAGAGAGACACTAACAATATTTGGAAAGGTAATTGAAAACAAGACCAAGTGATTGCAAAATATGAATTGGCTAACTGGTCTAAATTTGGTAAATGTTTGATTTTTTAGTGCTAAAATCATGTTAAATTTCCTCTGAAGTATTTAGACAGAGTAGGGAAAGTAATTTACTTTGGAGTGTTCAAAGAGGAAAAAAAATACAACTTAACAATAATAAAGTTGACTGCCATTAACTATTTTGTCTTCATCTGCTACCACTTTTTTAAGAAAAAATTTAATTCTGCGCCTTTACTCAAAAATGCAGTTAGCTGTGCACATTGGTTAGAAATCATGTTCACATCTCTGTTGAGAAGATTGTTGGAATGAATAATATATATGCATGGTTTCATATATATTCACATACATATATGTGTGTAATTATTTAAAGGTTATATATATATGTAGTTACACACAAATACATAAACAATAATTTACATGTGGAGGTTTCTTCAGTTACAATTCTGCCTTTTAGAAATACATATATTTTCTCATGTGCCAAGAAAGGTTTGTGTGAGAGAATTAAAAACAATGCAACTTCTGATCAATTCATTATAAAAAGCAATCTGATAGGAGAGACTGTAGTAATTTATGGCTTACAAAATGCCTTATTATTCAGATATAAAGAAAATGTTTGCCACTTGTGAATGTGTAATGATAGAACACCAAAACTCTGGAATAATGAAGAGGGTAATTATTTTAGTACAATAAAAATTATAAAATAATTATTTCAACAGCAACTGATCTAGTGAAGTCAAATTTGAGCAAATTCTCTAAGAATATATCAGGAATATAAAATGTGAACAATAGTTAACATGGACCAAGTATCACTCTTTATTAACTTAATAAAAATGCTAACACAGATCTGAAGTTTCTTTGGATGAGAGGAAATTAAACCATAATCTTATCTCAATCATCCCTCAAAAATAATTCAGGAGAGCCTACTAATATATAAAATATGTTTTAGAAGAAATAATATTTTATAAAGAATATTTTTCTGCTAGAATATGGAGAGTTATGAATAATATGTCCTGAAAGCATTAGAGAATGATAAGTAAATTTTGGACAATGCATTAAAAAAAATTTCAGTGTAAATGGAAGAAAGGAGAAAAGATGATTTATTAATCTTAGAAAGTAATCAGAAAATAGTTCAAGATGAGGAAAATGAGGGCTAGACAGACAAATATTAATATGGTCTTCTGAAAATGGAACTGGTCTTTTCTACTAAATAAGGGGAAGTAAAACAAAATCAAAACCAAATACAATCAACTAAACAAATAAGCAGGCATATACAGACCGTGTACATCACAAGAACTTACAAAGACTAGAAATCCCCCATAATACAAAATTCTACTGAAGATTCTATATTCTAAAGAGGCAGATACACCTTTTTCTTATTTTGAAGATAAACACTATATTGAAATTTCAATTTCTTTCCGTTATCAAATCCTGTTTATATTTTCTCTTTCAAAAAGTAAACTGTGTTAAACTAATCTTTTGTTTTGAATACAAAATTCATTATTTGTACTACGCAAGCAAGGAAACTGGGAGTCTTTGAAACCTCAGTGGAATCTTCAATGTGATATATGTATAAATTGAAAAAGGTAATATTCTGCTTAAAAAAAAATGAAGCTGCAATTGTGAATTGGTTAGAGTCCATGTGCTTAAATTGTGCTTTATGTATTTCATTTTATCTTGAAAAAAATAGTACTATCATTATTAGGGCATTTTTGGATTTACTATCTCCTTTTCTAAAATTGTTATCAGCAGTTAAAAAAATGTATATTTTAGAATTGTTGAAAACAAAATAAAGTAGTTTTAACCTTAATCTCCTGAAGATAAGGGTGTTACATAAAGTTTTGGAAGCATTTATCAGTTGTAATACAGCAATAACACTTTGTACTTAATGAATACTGTTGAAATTAGTATCATGCCAGATAAAAATAGTGTTTTTTTGTGGTTTGTCAAATAAATAACATATAATGGAGATTTCTATTCTAGATAAATCAAACACAAAATACTAATGAGTGTAGTGAGAAAAACTGATCAAAACATTTTAAAAAGTTTTTTTTCAGTCTTCAGAGATTTAATATCATTGAGGAATTAGAAGGTCAAGAATTTTGAAATGGGTGATCCAGAGAGGAGATTGAACCTTGCATTTGAAGCCTCATATAAGCCTGATAAGAAGAACAGATTTTTGATGGGGCCTGGGAATGAAAAAACAAAAACAGTTGTTCATCGTCTCCAAAGGATGAAGGTGGCCTCATAAAACTGTCTCCACAGATTCTAAAACTCACCTTAAAATCATTTCAATTATTGATTGGATCAAAATGACTTGGATCCAATAATGCAATTCATTCATTTGGAAGATGGTAACTTATCTTTGAAAGAAGATAAAAATCACCTAGATGTCAGTTATCATTAAAATTTTTCACATAAATTTTCTGCATTTAGAAATATGCAGGTATACAAAGACTAAACAGACTGTGAGCAAAACGAAGAGAAATAGCAAAAATAAAAAAATTGACGATGCGCACGACAGGAATATCAGACACAAACTTTAACAAAAACTATCTTTTATGTGTTAAAATAAATGAAAGATAAGGTTGAGATTTTTCAGATATGTAAAATCTTTGAAAAGAAAAATAATGAAATGTAATATAAAATTTAAAAGAAGAATTTAAAGAGAATAATGGACAAGCAACACTTGAATAGATAATGGTAGCTAATTTTTCAAATTATATGCATGTATGTTTGTGCGCATGAATACACTAAACCACCAGCTTAGATAAAACTAAAGCAAGATAAATAAAAATATAATTATAATTGTGTATATCATAGTCAAATTACTGATAACAAAACCAAATAAGAATTGTTTAGAAAAGACACATTACTTTCAAAGGAGTAAAGCTGATTTTCAACAGAAACAATGGAATTCAGAAATTAAAACAATAAAATATTGTGAAGTTAAGAAAAGAGATCTGCCAACGTAAACTTATTTTTATGTAAAAACGTTCTTTAACGATAAAAGTTAATAAGGACATGTTAAGATAAACAAGAATGGAGATAATTTATCAATGACAGAACTACAATAAAACACTAAAGATGTTCCTCAGGGAGAAGGATACCAGATGTAAGCTCAACATTAGAAGAAATAACTAAATTGCAGCAAAAAGGATAAGTCTAAAGGGTAAGGTATTTGTTAGATAAAATTTTAGTAATGTATTTGCATTTAACGTATATAGAAAATTATATTATAACAAAACCATGAAAAATGAGTCAAGAGGAGCTCAAATATAAAGTCATTCAACTTTATATTCAATATTTATGAAATATTTTTACATTAGTAAAATCAAATATAAATATGTATATTAGCGTTTAATATCTCAAGGGTACACTCTGTAATATCTTTGATAACTCCTAGAATTAGTAAAATAGAAGACATAAATACCAAAATAACACAAAGGTAATAGAAAAGAGAGCATGACAATTAATTCAAAATAAGGTGAGAAAAAAAGACAAAAAAAGGTTATAGAACACATAAGACAAATTGAGGAAAATTAGATTTAGAGATTAAAAATGTGGAATTTACAATACAAATAGACTATCATTAAAGTGTAAAACATAAAACTATTAAACTGATAAGAAAACACGGGAGAGAAACTCCAGGACATAGAACTAGTTGAAGGATTCTTATATATGAAAGCAAAAGCATAATCTTTAAAAGAAAACCTTGATAAATTAGACTGCATTAAAATTGAAAACAATTCTTTCAGTGAAAAGTTCTGTTAAGATGATGAAAAGGCAAGTTAAAGAATGAGAGAAAATATTTCCAAACCACATATACAAGGAGTCGTTTCTAAATTATATGAAGAATTCTCAAAACTCAACACTGTGTCCCAGATAAATTTTTTAAAAAGTTCATACAAATACCTCTAATATTCATTGCAGGTTTATTTGCAATAGCAAAATACTAAAAGACACCCAAATGTAATTCAAAGAGTAAATGATTAAACAAAGCCCATTACATCCATATAACTGAATACTACTCACCAATGTAAAGGAACCAATTATTGATACAAACAAAAATCAGGATGGATTTCAAGGACACTATGCTTACAGAAAAATAAACATCAATCTCAAAATATTGTTTAAATCATTTTATAGAGCATTCTCCATATGACAAAAAGAGGGAGATGAAGAACATGTCAGTGGTTACTCCAGGATAGGAAAAAGTATGTGTAAGTATGCAAAGGTAACATGAAGAAGTTCCTTCTTAAGGATAAAGCAATTCTCTATCTTGACATTGGTGTTAGATACATGACCTTATACAAGGGATAAATTGCATAGAATTACATGTTAACACATACACACATGAATTAATACACAAATGGTGAAAACTGCATAACTTGAATTAATCAACAGTATTCATATAATTAGAATTGTTATATTATTATGTTAATCCTTTATCTTAAGGTTTTTAGTCAGTTAAATGAGGCAGGATTTTTCTCAATATTTTGTAACACACTGTTGGTTGGAGAAAAATCTTAACATCTTAATTTTAACTTTGTTAAATTAAATAGATTATTTCTCCAAAAATCTATGAAATGTTTTATTATAGGAACAGATTTTCATATTTTTCAATGTACAAGAAAGTCATATGTGGTAAAACATTACTTTTGTTGTATAGTTTAGTGGATACAAAATGGGTGTAATTGCAATGTAGTGTGTATATTTTTAGCATTTAATAGAGTTGACTCATTTGGAGTGAAAGAATGTGTGATCCATGGGATTGATTTAAAAATATCTAGCCTATTTGCAGAGTTCTCTTTGTCACATAAATGATTTTCCTCTCAAATAAACTATAATTTTCTAGTACAATTGCCAAATAATTCCACTTTAGTGTGTTTTCTTCTCAGTGCTCATGCAAGTGATGAAGTTGAAATTTCTAATGATTTAATGGTTTAATGCTGCTCACCCTGACATAATTTCTGTAAACAGAGTTCCCTTTTTGTCATAAATGTGGACAAAGACCCTGTGAATATTTTAACCTTTGAAGACCAAACACTCTTTTCTAAAATCTCTTTAAGCAAAGGTCTGTAGACATCACATTTAAGTATAGTATTAAAACTTTATTTGCAAATGCATGCATCTTCTATAGGTTGTTTTCTAAACATTAAAATATGCTTCACAAGAACTCATAAGATTCTAAACTCAATCTTTAGTGGTACAAATTAGTACTCAAAAGTTCAATATACTTTGGAAAATAAATCAACAATTTAGTGAAAACATTAGTGAAAAATAGAACTAATTAATTACACAGAAAATATATCTTAAAAGGAAAGATTGTTAGAAAATATTAACAGATGTAGCAATATTTTAATTAATAAATTTAAAATTAAATTTGTGTTAGATTAAAATTAACAATTAAATATTAATGTATAAATTGTCATACCTTCATAATACTTACAAAAATTGGTTGTTTAATTGTAAAGAAACAGCTCAAATCACTATGAATGGTAATGTCAATTGTTAATTGTGGCAAAAATAAAAGTCATTTTGAATAAAAAAAGATTAAAGGTAATCACTGATATGGAGTGGAATGTAACTGCAAAGAAAAACTTTCATAGTTTAAATAATACAAATGACAGAAGTTTAATGTAATTGAAAGAAAAGGAGCTCACTATTCTTTGTATATCAAAACTATTTATTAATTCTCTCACTGCCTCTGTTACTAAATATCATATTAACATTTCCTCTTGCTGTTGAAGCTATTCCACTGATGTATTCTATTACCCATGAGTGTTTCAATACTGTGCACTAGTACCAAGTATTTTCACTGCCTCTTAACCCTCCATGTCTTTTCAATGTAGTCCTCATTCTTCTAATGCCATTTTCAAATACCATAATTTTAACACCTGCTATTTTCCTCCAAAAACAGCCAAAAGAACCTTTTCACAGGCTGAAAGAAGTTTACTTTTTAGTGGTCAGTTGCCAAAAGTTTGTTTCTCTGACTGAGAACCTCCTTTTTAACTGTATATTCTATACTCTTTTCTCTAGTGTCAAAAGAGTCTGTGATGTCCCTAGGTTACTAGAAGGAAAAGGTAAAGAGGTACCATGTAAATAACAAAGCATAGGCAGAGCAGATGAAATCAGCCCAATAGTCCCATAGACAGTTCTTTTTGGATAAATGTAGAAATTGACCCTTATTACTGTTAAAGTTTGAAACTTGTATCTGTTCTACCTAAGTTCATTCCTCAGGAAAGAACCTTCAGCCCTCTCAAAAGAGTATCAAAGAACTGAAACTCATCACATCACCCCACCAGATGTCTCCTTGTCCCTCCCTAGTACCTGTTTTCTTACACATTGCTACATTTCTTCACTGCTATATAAATCCCTAGTTTTAGTCAGGCATATGGATTTGAGACTGAGCTCCTAGCTCCTCTGTTGCAGCATCCAAATTAAGCCTTCTTCCTTGGCAATACTTGTCATCACTGTCATTGGCTTTCTGTGCAGTTAGCAGCAGGACCTAGACTGAACTCCTGGTATTTTGGTAACAAAGTTGAAGCTCTCAGTCATAGAGTGGATTGACACTTAAAACAACAACAACAACAACAACAAAAATAACAGAATTCATCTTTGTTTTTCAAAATTGTGGTTTTCTATTGCTCCAATACTTGAGTAGACCTTTGGCCACTGGTCATAGTAAGAATAGAAAATTTAAAATACCATTCAGTACATTTTGTTTCGCTATGAGTTTATTTGATAGAAATAGTCTGTCAATGAATTATTTAGAGCAAAATGTGAGGTATGTATGTTAGATTTCAAATTGATACTTACTGTGGTCCAGCTGACTTGTTGACCTAGATCTGTAGCATACAGCGTGACAATGGAGGAAGCTGCAATACTTTGAATGGTAATGTAGTCCTTCAAAAAAGGCCCACCTAAAATAAAAACAACAAGAAAATGTTACTTTAATACACTTTCTTAGCATAATGATAAATAATTTCTTAATGTAAAATCAGTAAAAGCTAGCAATTAATTTAATATGG